AGAATTACAATTACTTATACAAATACAACGTTAAAAAATAATATTATGCAATATAATAACAGTTATTGACTAATAGTTATTTGATTAATAATATTATAATTAATTACAATATATTGTAATGCTATTGAAAATGTATGTATTTCTCAACAGTCTTTTCCCTTTGAATATTAAAATTTCATTTGTACTTATAAAATACAAAAATGTAGGAAGAATGACGATTAACAATAAAAATGGTCCCGACAGTCTTAAACTTGGCAGACTTGGTGCATAGAGGCAAAGATGAATGCAAATTTCATACAAAGAACGAAACGACTCTACCAAACAAACCATAAATATCGCGTTAACACAGCTTTCGGCAGACGATTATTTACGCATTTATTGGCTTGCAGAGGTACCAAATCATCAATTTGCCCGGGGGGGCGCTTATACATTTTGGCTGGCCCTTTCCCCGCCGTGAAACGTAGTTATTCATTCCTATAATAAACTGTCATACATTCATGCGTCTCCGATGACGTAATGACAATGAAGAACAAGTTTCAGCTGATGCAAGCGTAGGTACCGTGAAAGGGGCTCACCGATCGTCATTCGCGGCATGTAAATTATGCTAGACCTTCTTCAGCTTCCTCTTAGCTTTCATACCACGTTGCCTTTTTAAAAATAAAAGATTCTTCGAATCGCCTGAAGGGACGTTAAAGTATGCTTGCATCGATCGATCCTTAATGTCAATTGCTATTTAACTTGTTGTATATGTGAATGGTACAACGCGTGCCATGTGACCAATTTTTGAAAAATTAATTTCGAAAGTACAAGTGTAATGTATAACGAACAATTTTTTATTAATTGATTAAAAATTTATTAAATTCTATTAATTGATATGCATGTTGTACTTGCACTGATATACAACCACAAAAAGCTATGCCACCATAATTACGAAGGAAATTGTAAAATATTATAATGTACGAGCTACTTTTTATTAATTAGTAAAGGTTGGATTAATACAAAGTTATGGTTACAAAATAATACAAGATTAATGTATAATAATAATTGAACCGCCCAGTGTGTGAAAAAATCGTCATCGGCGCCAAAAACAAAATCGATTACTTCCTCCGTCAGAGGGTTCGAAAAAACCAACTAAACCTTCTAATTGCTGGTGTTCTCGCGTGCAATTAAATGGCTCGCGCGACCAAGACCCGGGCAACTTTTACCGTTTCTGATTCCCGCCGATTGTACCTGAAGCGTGAAAGTCGTAAACGATTTCGTCTCGGACTTGCATGCATGTGTGCAGCCGCGTGAAACGTTCTCATGTGTATACTGTCCGCTAACAGTACTCGAGATGGAAAGGAAAAGCAACAGGGACCGGAAGTGTCGCGCGCGTCGGCCACGATGTGCGGGACTCGTGGCTTCCTTTTATCGCGAGATAAGAAGTCACACCCGTTTTACTATGCGTTGCGGGCGCAGTAATGGGACGCGAGCCGGAAGTTCGTATGGGCACGATCGAAAACGTGCCACGCGCCATTCCGAATGCAAAAGTTACATTTGAATATAAAGAGGTTCTGTTACACGACCTGTCACGAAACTGTTTCGTTCGTTTCACAGGTTAACCCTTTGTTTGTCAAACTTCGGGCCAATGAGTCTGCTAATGATTTAAACAGTTTTACAATATTTTGTTATAAATTATTCTTTCGAGCTTTTTATTTAGGTGTTCGAGTCAGTTCGATTCAATTCAATTTAACGAACACTCGAGACTATATATATACGAACTTTCTAATGGTGTTCCCGTCTTTATATCGCGATAATACAAATTTTTACATTCATTTGTGAAAATTTCATTCGTCAAGCTCTTCGTCAAAGGAAAGTTGTAAAATGACCAGACGGCGGGGAAGATTTACTAGTGTTGAACAGCTCTAGAAAATGAAAAGGACGAGCCAATGATTTCAGTGAAAACCTGTATTTCTTCTTCGCCAAAACAGGTAGCCGACAAAAGGTTAACCGGTTTCCGGAAATGGGTAATTTCTTTATTATACCCATCAGTGCGCGCGCAATCCTTTTCTGTGCATGACCCCGCGGCGGTATAACTACCGTTCCAGAATAAAGTAACCAAGGTCAAGAATTTGCATGCCCTTTGCTCTTCCTTCGCAAGATCCCACTTTTTTCTACGCATGTTTGAAGTTGAGAAGGTGAGAACGTTCTGCGGTTAAACAAATTCAATGGCAAAAGGTTAGATTGCTTTCATGTAATTTTAACTAATCTCTACGAAGATCGTGATTGATTTGATGAATAGGAAGGTTCATAATTATAAATGGTGTTCAATTTTTCACTACTGAACTTATCAGTGCATTAGGAATTTAAATGTTTCATTTCCTTTTCTTTGAGATCTTTGTTTTTCCATTAGTCTGCAGCAGCAAAGAGTTCAACGAAGTGGCGTTTTATGCGAAGAATATTTTCGGTGGATGCGTCAGAAGATGCTAGCCTTGTTAAAGCAGCGAGGCACGATTTCCACAGCGAATCGCGCGAAGGTGAACATGGACCAACATCTCGAGGCCTCGCAGGCCCTTTTTCCATTGACTCATCGCGGAGATGACGCGATTTCCCGATGAACGAACGCGACCCCGTTTCCCCGGATGAAAAATATCACAATAAATTGCTCTTTTACGATGAAATGTGATTGCTAGTGTTGTCAAACGCGTCAGAAGATTGTCACCAGAGAGTTGAATAATCGACTTCCTTTGTTAGTCATTCCTATCGGTTATTGAATATAATCATAATCACTGCAATCATTAATTAATTAGGTTAATCGTTATTAAATTTAAAATTATTCGTTCGTTTCCAATTTGATATTCCTTGTTTTCTAGATAGATATCTTGTATTAATTGCAGCACGTAAATGAGAATATTTTTAATCTCATTATCAAAATTCAAACATTCGTTTTTCATGATTGGATTTGGCATGATCTTGAAGATCGATGTCTTTATCAGCGATTTCCCTAATCTAATCTAAGTTCGATAAAAATGTGAAAAAAAGTCGTGCAGCAGTTTTTTAAGGAGTTGTTGTAAAGAGAAAACTTCAATCTTCAAGATCACGTTGGATCCAGTTATGAGAAATATTTCTCCACAGCTTTAGAGACGTTTGAACTAATTTCCCAGAAAATTATTAGAAAATATTCTTAGTTTCATGATTTAGTTACTGAAGATATTCGAAAAATTATTAAACTAAAATTAAAAATCTATTGAAAGGTTGAAAATGTTCGGATACGTTCGTGCGCGAAGTATGTATTATTTAAATATATTTATTATGCTCAGTAATCACGGTTAATCAACTAATCAAATATTTTACCCAACTCTGGCAATCCGATCGAATCACGCGTCGAATGGAGCGGAAAGTTGCCTGCAGCATGTCTGAAACCAGCTTTTGTTTTTAATTCTCCCCGTACGTACGTTGCAAGCTGAAACTAGATCGCGAAAGAAGGACATGGACGTTCTTTAACTTTCAGCTAGAAGAAACAGAAATTGTTCGACTCGGATGGAACAGGTTTCAACAGTTTTGTAATTCGAATTAACAGTTGCCTCTGGGCAAGATCGTGGCTCGCTTTCGCTTTTAATTCTCTGCTGTTAGAGAATCATTTTCAAGCTCCACGAGATATAACGTGGTCCAATTAAGAAGAATTTATTTGGTTATGGTTCCAGTTTAGAGCAATTAATTATATCTGCCGGCGTAGTTTTTCTGCTAATATATTGTATAAATTTGTGAAACATTGCATATTTTCTTTTTTTTTTTTTTGCATTTATAGAATATACATATAAGAAATAAGAGTCGAAGATTAGCTTCAGAATTACATATAATCTTTTTGATGTAGGTAAAATCTTATGCTTCGCTAGCAACTTGAATGAAAATAATGACGTGATATGTTTAAACTTTAGATTCCGAGTTTATATTTTATGAAACGATTAAATTATATCTCTCACAAATTTAATAATATATTTGACATTTCAACTGGGATAGAATAATCGAAATGATTCAAAAGAAATTCTGTTAGATTTAAGAGTATTAATATATTTTAAGAGAATGCTTTTTAGACAATTAAATTCTAAAACGCATAAAGTAGAAGCTTGCGTTCTTTACTCTATTAGAAACTTTTCTTGTATTTTAAGTTATTTTTTTTTAGTACAATCTTAATACTTCAACGAATGGTTCTAGTGTATTAGTCTCTAGACTAATCGGAGATTTATTTTTCAAATAAATTGAATAATGTTATTTATTAATTTAAATAAATTCTTATTATGAAAATTGATCTATGCTTTAACTCATACTTTAACTCATCACAGCATGTTTTCCTCGGTAGACCAACAGATTTATGTAGATGTTTCGCAAGTGCTATGCAAAAAGAATGTAGCAACACATTAGCTGGAAAGACGGATAGTTGCAGAACGTATTTGGTGGTATTTTTTTTTTTTTTTTTTTATCATCATGTTGGTGTTTGCGTAAGGATAACAATAGATAATGGAGCCTAGGTCACAGGTCAATTGATTTATAATATTGATAATCCTACCAATAGAAAATTAATCTAGACATTAATGGATGTTCTAGAAATTTAAATGATGTGGATTGAATCTCATTACTTATGAAAAAATTAATTAATTAAAAATTACCGACACGTGGAACTGCACATTTATTTAATTATTAAAATTAGAGGAGGAGGATATTTCTCTCATTGCCAGACAAAGAAAGAAAAGCCAAACGTGGCTTGTGTTGCTCGTTTAGGATTTCTTCAAGTATGACGACATCGTGCATGACTAGATGGAACAATGAAAACCGCCTTCACAACGCGATTGTTCGAACCCGTGTCAGTGGATCTGCGGTGATTTAGCATAAGATTAACCGAGAAATTAGTCATCGAGCGAAAGGTTATGACCGAGACAGTGACTCAGATCGATTCCCCATTCCGAGGAGGAGCAATTTTTATCCAGCCTGATCGAACGTTGCCTCGATTTATCTTCGAGTTGCTGAGGAAATCAGATGACAGAGTACTCATGTATAATTTTGATTTTGTTGATTTTTATTGGGATAGAAATATTAAATATTTGTTGTATATACCTCAATTCTAATCTGTCTGTTTCAATGTACGGTATTAAAATAACATTTCTAATCTACTATACGTTTTTAAGAATTTAATATCTCGAGTTCTCTGTCTATTGCAAAAGTTTTCTAAAAATTAACAATTTCATTTCAATAAATTCGTTCGCTAAAATCTTAAACACAGATTGATGATTGAGATGACGATTACCATTAGATCAAACTGATGTTCATTTATTCTTTGATACATTCAGTAATTGCAAATGAGATTGCAGAGAAAATAAAATTCTTGTAGAAAAAATTCTTGGGAAAATACTTGTTGTTTTCCTCTGTTCCGAAGGAGCTGGCAGAAACGATCTCAGACAACATAAAAACGTAGAAAACGAAATTTTAATATTCAATGCTTCCTACCGTAATAATGAAACCAATTAAAATACCACTGTTTTTCCTTCGTTTGCAAGCTGTTTATGTACGCCAGCTACATTTTCTCTATTCACTCGCTCGAAAGGAAAGATCTCACACGAAGAGAACGAATAATCTTGTTGGACAAAGAGCCGAGGAGAAGTTTCATCAAGATGTTTCTATGCCATGTAAATCATCTGATTTCCGATACGGCGAAAGGAAACTCGCGAACAACTCGCGTGCACTTGCATACGTTCCATCAAGTATCAGAAGTGGAAGCGACAGCATTATGACTTCCGATTCGCGGAAAGTGTCCCGAGATTTATAGAGTTATTGTTGACAGATGTTATTGAGTACGAGTTATTGTGCTCAGCCCCGAGTCGTTGACCCGTTTGGCAAAAAAGGATTGATTGGATGCGAGCAACAAATCAATCCCTCTTCCAACTGACTTTTATCTACGAAATTAACTGTAAGCTATTTTTATCTGCGAACATTCTCGATACGAAAGTCAGGAAGCTCGAACGCTGAGAAAGAGG